TGTACCAAGAGCAAATACAGGAGAAGCTTGCAAAAATGAAAGTAGAAGAAGGCAATACCCATGGAAGCAAGCAGATCCAACAGTATCAGAATGCATTGATGGCTTGTATTCAGGATGACCTGATGGAGGAACAATTGGCTGCAGCTGAAGATATAGTGGAAAGGTGGAATGGGCAGGAAGACCCCACACCAGAGACAAAAGCAAGGTGCAATTGTATGAGGTCAACTTCCCAGTCTTCAATTTATCCTGGTTCCCAGGAATGCAGCCAAGTATGGGTACAAGTATGTCCAAAGCTTTGCAATGGAGATGTGGAGGTATTGTGGAATGCACATAGTGTGTATGGCTGGGTGGAAAAATGAGGAGGGAACTATACAGGCATGCACATGAGTCCACCATATTCTCCTCTAGGCCTAGGTAAGACTCATGCAATGACAGTATGGACTTCAATAACAAAATCATGGATGGAATCCCCTTCAATGATGTCTGCACACTGGAAGGAAGCTGGCAAGAGTACCTTGGGGAAACATTTGAGGAACCAGGAACACTGCCCAAGCATGATGGCAAGTCAAGTCCCAAATGTGCTTGGAAAAAGACAGCAGCCAAAGCAACAAGGACCAGCAAGGTTGACTCTGTGAAATTGGTGAAAAATGCTGATGGAGAGATTTGGATAGGAGAAATCACAGGCCTTAGCTGGGGCCAACTACAAAAAATGGTTCATGGATTTGTGACTGCTCACTACCATGAGTGGCCAGAGTATTTAGTGTCCTCAATCTCTGATGAGTGCTATCAGGATTAGCATGCAGAAATCCCTCATCAGCAGTGCCATTCAAGAATTTTGGTCATCATCAAGCAGAAATGATAGCAGCCCACCATCTTCCTGAAGGATTTACCTTTGACCATGACCCAAGTCACATGTGGATGACAACTGCTACCCAGCTGCTGTCCTTTTGGCACAAGCAACAGGAATCCCATCCAAATGATGTGTTTGGATTTCAGAAATGGATCAATCAATCTGGTGAGCTGCAGCTACTGGTGGATAGAACTTTGGCACCCCTCCAGGTTGTGAGGCAGCAGAAATACTGAAAGACACCTGCCCCAAAATGCAAAAAGAATCCCAGAAGGAAAAATGTCAAGGGCAAGGGTAAAGCACAGGAAGAGGGAGTGGTGGATGATAGTGCAGATGATAGCACAGATGACAGTGCAGATGACAGTTTGGATGATCACAGCAAGGCTGAGGTGAGTGATGTTGAAACAGATGGTTCCTCTGCTAAAAAGGTGCACCATGTGTGATTTTCATGCACAACAGATCAGCACTAATGTCATTCTTGTCTTCAGGTATCCGGTGGGAGGAAAAACTGTGCCAAGACACCATTCCCTCTCATTCCTGCTCAAATCCCCCACCAGCTGATGGTTCCCATAGTGAGTGTCTCTCTGCACCTCCAGCCCATGCAAAGACCCTGGTGCATTGTCTGTGAAATAAAGTGCTAACTGACTATAATGGGTGGGAAAGCAATGGCCATGATTCTGATGATGAAGTTGGTGAAGACACTTATTTTCCCACCCTATCCAATTCAAAGAAAATGGCAACATCCCTGAATAGTGAGCTTCCCACTGTAACTTGTATTCACAGCAAACCCTGATCTGCACTCAGGGAACAAGTACACAACTGAACTACAGGACCACTCAGAATATGCAGATGAAGATGGATTGGAGAGCATTCCTTTCACTGACCACCCAACTGAGGAGGGGTCAACAAGCAGAAAAAAAGGTGGAAAGCTGAAATCCACCCTGAAGCACACACACCAGGCAAGTTCAGTCATGTTGAATCAGCTGTTATGGCTAGCAAGTTTGTGCTGTATATTAAGCAGGCTCTGTCAGAATTGAGTGAGCCAGACATGAATTGACATTGACCTGGGGCCAAATACTTGTCCAAGTCCAACCATAATGGATCTGTGACCACCAATGCAGCATCCATGAATGTGAAACAGGGTGTCCCTGGGAGCACCTGGAAGTCACCTCATATCAGAAAGGCCCCTGCAAGGCCAGATGCAGATGTTCCATCTCCTGATGCAAAGAGATTGCACAAGCAAACAGGCAGCAATCAGAAGCAGAAGTAGTTGTCAAATCCCTCAAACAGTCAGAGTGGAAACCTTTTCTGGAACTCATGTATGGTCTATAGAGGGCTTAGCCTAGTGTGACACATTAGAATACAAGTGTATGGCATGTACAGTAGCTCATGACACCATGGTGGTTGTGAGAGGCATCTTTGATATCAGAGAGAGGGATAGTTAAGCAGGATGGTTGAGCAGGACAATTGAGTGGAGAGCTGAGTGGGACAGGTCTACATATTAGCCATGTGGAAGTGACTGGTAGCTATCTATGTAGGGAGATATTGCTGCTTATCTCCCATGTATTGCTGTTACCCAAAATTTGGGTCTGTCCACCATTGTCCAACCATGCTTCCCACAGTGTGAATGATATTCTCACCATTGTTCCTACAAGTTTAAATCTTGATTGATCATTGACCTATCAGTGAACCCATCATCATCAAATATGTCCACTGAACAGTCCTGCCAAGTTCATTTCTGTCATCAAGGTGAGGTTTTCTTCATTGTTGGATCCAGCAACCTAAGCCATCCACAGCTAATGTAAGACCAATCGAGCCAAGGCAATCTAGCTCCTGCATGAAGCAGTCCAAAAATCTGGAGGAGACACTAGTACAACTGCATGAGTTGTGAGAGCCAACCCCTCCACCAATTGTCTCAAGTGGAAGGGCAGATATGGTGGGGTTGAACATGGATATTGCAGCTGGTGAGTGAACATGATTTCTCTCCAAGCTAAACAACAAACACTCTTTTGCTATAGATTCATGTGAAAGCTTGCTGGATCAGTTCCTGCAGGAAAGGGAGCCAACTGCTCTGGCAGAGGGCAGAATTGCAGCCAGTGAGTTGGCATGATTGCCCTTCAAGCTAATGAACAAACTAATTTTCTAGTAATAGATCCACATGACAACTTGATGAATCAGTTCCTGAATGAACAGGAACCAACTGCTCCCCCAGCAGATGGTATGAACATGGATCTACTCAAGCAATTGCTGAATGTGTGGGAACCATTGGCACCACCAGTCATGCATGAGAAATTAAACAGGATGGACAGGTCTTCAACACCTGCACAAGATGTTACTATGCAGGTCGATTTTCTGGCAGACTTGCAGAATGTGTGGGAACCATCTCCTCTGCCCATCACCTGCAAATCATCAAATCTGAGGACCAATCTCCTCGACCTGATTCTCCAACTAACCTGCTTGCTTGATTGCAAGATGTGAGGGAACCAACACCTCCCCCACTTGTTTCAAATGTACCCATTGAATCTTTTGACTTGGCAGCAGATGAGGACAATGGCACAAACTGTTTGACTTTTGGCATGCCTGAATGATCAGAGATGAGGGATCTTTTTGAGGAAATATGCAATGGTGAGCATTTATTTGGTTCTATTCATGTGATCAGTGATATCCATCAATTATGTAGGTGAGCTTCCATCTACACAGCAATCTCTTCAAATGGAACAATGGGGATTGGCACCTGTTCCACATTGTGATCAAGGTATGGGCATGAGCTTAATCTGATACACCTTTGACATTGATAATTTTAGTCCTGCATGCCTTACATGCCACAGTATCTCACTATTGCAGAAACACCACTCCCAGTGACATGCCATTCAATCCCACCCTTGATAGGCACCTTGTGTGGGCTGAGAATGCCATTGTGAGAGAATTGGGCACAGCTGCAAGGGACCAGGATGGTGCAGCCTCTCAGGGCCTTTGACTTGTTAATATGCTCAATTTGATGAAGTCATTCATTATCTGCATTCTGCCTTTGAAAATTGTCCTGAGCCATTCATTGCCAGCCAATCACACCCATCTTGCCAGTCTGTGGTAGAGATGGGTATCCTCTACTTGGCATGCCAGATTGAGGTGGCATCTGTACATCTGAAGCAGACTGCCAATATCATGGGATGGCCCATGCATTGGTTTGCAAACCTAGCAATGGACTTGGTAGGTTTTACATCAATTTTTCACAATGTGGGACTGATACATAATTCCTTCAGAATCAGCTTAATAGCTTGATTCTGGTGATGGTGTTGTATGCCAGGTATACTCCTCCCCTCCCAGCATGCTACCATGCATACCTCAGACACCAAGATGATGAGGTTAGCTTCCACAATCAAATGCAGCTAATTCCCCTTAGTGCATTTTGCATAATTGATAATATCAGTGCCATCATCCCACATTGGACCCCACATGCAGCTGAGCCCAATTCTGGCTTTGCATTCCCTTGGTGGCTATATCATTCTGAGGAATATGCAGTGGATTCCCAAAGATTGCAAGGCAAGGGATTGTTTTCTGTTGCCTGGGATTTTTTTAAGGTATGCCACTTATTCTTGTCACTGCAAATAGTTGATGATGGCCCAGAGCTTATGGTCATTGCCTGAGGCACCAATCACAGACCTGTCTTGATGGCCATATCGAGGAGCAGGTAAACTACTGCATCGAAAATATTTGGAAATATGCTGATGTTGTCAATGGTTGGGGTTGACAAATTGACCATTTCTATACTAGGTGGTGGGCATTGTGCAGGTTGTTGGGCATGCCACTTCAATAGTTTACATGTTTTTGACTGTGGAGTTGGTTGAATATACATTGCTGTGAATGTCGATCATTTATGAGATACCACCCATTCACATGATGTCTGAACCCCTGCCCATCCACATGATGTCTGACAATCCACCCATCTGCATGATGGCCTGAGTAGGTTTATGTTTTTTGCAGTTTATGATGCACACCCTTTAGCTCTGAGTACCCACCCAATCTATGATGTCGAAGCACCTGCCCATTTGCAAAATCTTGGCAACACCACCTGTCCAAAGTTCAAAAGCCAGCATATCCTAATAAAATACAAGATCCACATTGCCTACTAAATCTTACATTAAATTTTGCAGCTTCAAATCAACAGTTCTCCAGTTGCAACTGGTCTAGGTAGTAGGTTGTCCACCTGCAGTGATTGACACATGGGAATGTGCACCAACTGATGTACATTGGCACACATGTAGTATGCCAGGCATGCTCTGTCACCATCTACAGCTCCCACCCCATGCTCCAATGCTGAACCTGAAAATGCAATGATCATCCCTGGGTTGTAGCATAGCCGCAGATTCAACATTGGAATGACAAAGTCCAAGGGCAGGTAGTTGCCTATGGTTACCAGCATGTCATACCATGGATCCCATCCATTGATATCCCTGTGGTAACAAGTTGCCCAATTCACCATCATGGACATGCTGCTATATGTGGAGCTCATATCTGAATCTGCCTGCTGTTTTGCCTGTTCGCCAAGGTGGATCAATGCTTCCCTGCCATCTGCATACATTCATGGATGGATGACATGCAGGATCACAGATAACAGGGCATTGGTGTTGGACATTTGGTCGACCCATTCCCTTGTAGAAGTGTTTTCCATCCTGGATTTGAGCAGCCATGAGGCTTCTGGGAAGCCATTTTGGGGTTTCAAGACAGATGAGCACTTTATTCACAAGGAAAGAAATGATCACCCACCCCATAACCCTGTTGAAACCATGTGGGTGACAGGTTGATGGTGCCTTTCAACTCAGCATTATTGTGGAAATATGCCTTGTCCATCTGCCATGCCTGTGGGGAAGCCTTTATGCTCTCCCACAGTGGTTCCCTTAGAAGATGAAGGCAGTTCCATACATTGGCCTGCCATTGCATTAAGTCAGTAGAATATGAGATTCTGCATTCCCTTACCCTTCTTTTTGGGCTGAGAGCATCTGGCAAATACCAAATGCAGATGGTGTTTGAGTTGGTCACCAGAATGGATGGCTCAGTCACTTCTGCATATCTCTCAGCAGCTTCTGCATTGCAGGTTTTTCCACCCTGATTTTTCCCAACATTGACTGTGGAAAGATGAAAACTTCCATTGCACCATTATGATGGACTTACTTGGGTGATGATAGGCCTGTGAGATTACTGATGATATGCAATCCACTTCACATAACACTGGAAACAGAATTGATAGATCTGGAAGGGTGCAAGGTCTGCTGAATACCTCCTCTTGAAATCTGGCTTTCATGTATGATGCAATGCAGTCTGTTAGTTCCATTTGCCATCTGTGGGGGGTTTTAGATGTGTCTTGTGTAGTATTCATGCTTGGGGTGGATGAGGTCAGAGTTGTATAGTGGGTGAGCTCCTTGCAGCTTGTTGGAAAATTATGGCATGTCAGGATGCTTGCCTCAATATTTTGCTGTGATCTGATCAATATGTTGTGATGCTATATGTGCTATTGGTGTTGGTCCCATCTTATGTTGTGACAGGGGTGGATCTTACTAGATGGACCTGTCCTTGTTTTATGGCAATATAAAAGATATTACTGAAGGGCCCATCCATATGTTATGACCATATAAATAATACTGCTGAAGGGCCTGTCCTTATGTTGTGACCACATAAATGATACTGCTGAAGGGCCCTTCCATATGTTGTGACACTATAAATGATATTACTGATGGGCCTGTCATTATGTTGTGACAGGGGTGCATCTTACTAGATGAGCCCATCTATGTGTTGTGACACTGTAAATGATATTACTGATGGGCCCATCTTTATGTTGCAACAGGCATACATGTTGCTATTGACAGGCCATCCATGTGTTGTGACTGTGTAATTGATATTACTGATGGGCCCATCCATCTGTTGCAACAATGTAATTGATAATACTGACTGGCCTGTCTTTATGTTGTGACATGGGTGCATCTTACTAGATGGGCCTGTCCATGTGTTGTGACCCTGTAAATGATATATATTGAAGGGCCCATCTTTATGTTGTGACAGGTACATCTTACTATGGATGGGCCTGCCCATGTGTTGTGATGGTATAAATGATATTATGGAAGGGCCCATCCATATGTTGTGATGCTATAAATGATATTACTGATGGGCCCATCTTTATGTTGTGACAGGGGTGCATCTTACTGGATGGGCCTGTCTATGTGTTGTGATGGTGTAAATGATATTACTGATGGGCCCATCTTTATGTTGTGACAGGGGTGCATCTTACTGGACAGGCCCATCTATGTGTTGTGACACTGTAAATGATAGTACTGATGGGCCTGTCTGTATGTTGCAACAGGCATACATGTTGCTATTGACAGGCCCATCCTTATGTTGGGACAGGGGGGTATCTTACTAGACAGGTGCATCTATGTGTTGTGATGCTGTCAATGATATTACTGATGGGCCCATCCTTATGTTGTGACAGGCATACATCTTGCTATGGACAGGCCTGTCTATATGTTGTGAAAGGGGTATATTATCCCAAAGATGGGCCCTTCCATATGTTGCCAACTCTGTAATCTATCCTAGAGGGGCCCCTCTTTATGTTGTGGCCCTATAAAGCATATGATGGGTGGGCCTGTCCATATGTTGTGACCTTCTTCATGATACAATAGGCAGGCCCATCCTGATATTGTGACTGGGGCACACCCTACCATGGATGGGCCTGTCCATGTCTTACAGTAGCTCAGCATACTTACTTGGTCACAGGCCCATCTATATGTTGCAGCATCCTTACCCTCCACAGGCCCTCCCATATGTTGTGGAATTGCACTTACAAGCCCATACATATGTTGCTCTCACTATAGGCCCTCAGGCCTGTCCCTATGTCATGGCTAATCTATTTAGATGGGCCCATTGCAGGGTCTATATAAGTGTTGGCAGTTTGGCACACAGGCTACCTATATGTTGTGACTAAATGGACCACATGGGGTCCCTCCATTGAACAACAGGGAGTGCTTATTTGTGATGGGACACATCAGCATAATGTGCTTGACCAAGACATGGTCAGAATGAAGTTGCTCAGTACACTCCCAGTTCACTCGACACTTACTGGCTATGGTGAATGTGATCTTAAGGCAAGACATGCAATCATGCATGGTAGGTAAGTGCAAAGGTCCCTCACTTCCTTCTCAATGAATGATTGGGTTGAACTTTAAATTCCAGTCCCAGCAAACTGTACCCTGATTTTGCAGATCTCCATCCCTAGGGGTGTCCCAATGGCATGAAGGGAAGTGGATGTACACTGTGTCATCTATTTCTGAGCAGCTGCTCATCTTCCCATAATATTTCCTTGATTCTGTGCCATTTCTGTGCATGATTCGATGTCCTTGCTCCAAAGCAACTATTGCGCAGAGGATGGGCTACAGTATGAAGAGCTAAGACAAGAGCACTTGCCTTTTACTTGAGTTAAAACAGTAGTTTTTGAAATAAGTTTGTTGGGACTCTTGTTTGAGAGGACAGTAGAACAAATGTAGAATATCCCTGAGTTTATATACATGTTTCCATATGCATGGACCAGTAATGTATATGGAAACTGTTACTACATATAGTAAAGAATAGCAGAGAATGCTATGGAATATGATGCAATACATGATGTCATACTGATGTCACTGTAGAGCTGATTGCTAAGTTATGTGACGTTACACATGTATCAAAATGTGCAAGTCTAGATGAATCTAGATGTCAGACATATTATCATATTTCCAACACTCCCCCTTGCTCTAGAATGGGAGATTAACAAGTCCCATCAACGAGTGATTAGTTTTGAATTTCTGCCACATCAATGATTTTGTAAGACCATCGGCTTTTTGTTAGTCAGTTTGAACATATTCAATACTGAACAAACCATCTTGTACACATTTGTGTACATAGTGCCATTGGATGTCAATATGTTTGGAACATCCATCTGAGACTGGATTTTCAGCTATGAAGCATGCACCCATATTGTCACAGTATAATATGGTCTTTTTGGTTTTAAGCTTGAGTTCATCAAATAGCATATGAAGCCATTTGACTTGACCTGCAGCATCACAGAGAGCCATGTATTTGGCTTCTGTAGAGGAGAAGGCAACAGTCTTCTGTTTTTGTGATTGCCAAGAAATAAGGGATGTTCCAAGGAACATGGCATAACTGGTTGTTGAATGATGAGTATCTTTATTCAACACTCAATCAGAATCAGTGAAACCAAATATCTGCAATTCAAGTCCAGAATAATAAAGCACTAAATTTGGAGTAGAGGTAACATAGTGAACTATGTGCAATGCTTTATTATGGTGATCTTCAGTTGGATTTGCCATATATTGTGACATGTGGATCACCACAAAGGTGATATCTGGACAAGTTCCAAGTGCCATATAGAGTAAAGACCCTATAATAGACTGGTACTGGGAGTGGATTAGTGAGGTTGCCTGATAATTGGCAGGGGTTTTTTCCAGTTGATATCCTGAAGGAAGTGGAGTGCGAACATTTTGAGCAGTCTCCATTCCAAATCTTTTGATGACCTTTTTGATGTATGGAGTTTGATTGAGATAAATTTCTTTCTTCAATTGATCTTGATGAATTTGAATTCTGAGATATTCTTTAACTTCTCCAAGGTCACAGGATTCCCATTTCTTCATAAATTCTTCTTTCTTGGCTTTTAGAAGATGTTTGTCTGATCCTAAAAATAATCCATCATCAACATAGACAAGGAAAATGACAATGCCAGCTTTTGAAGAGTAGATGTATATCCCAGCATCCACTTTAGAGTGTATATAGCCCATGTGAAGTAATGAAGCATGTAGGGCTTTATTCCATGCAAGTGCTGCTTGCTTTAAGCCATAGAGGGCTTGAAGCAGCCAATAGGCCTTGTGCTCTTGGCCCTTAACTTGAAAACCTTCTGGTTGCTCCATGTAAATTTCTTCATCAAGATTGCCATATAGGAGGGCAGTTTTAATGTCCAGGGCTTCCATTTCCCAATTCTTTTGGGCAGCAAATGCAAGTAGGATTTGCACAGTTTCAAAGTGAGCCACTGGAGAGAAGGTATCTTTGAAGTTGGTGCCAAATTCTTGTGTAAAGCCTTTAGCCACAAGATGAGCTTTATAGCAACCATCACTTTTAACAGTGAATACCCATCAACACTTAACAGGTTTCTGATCTCTGGGAGGATCCACCAAAGTCCAGACTTGTCTTTCTTCAATAGACTTTAATTCATCCTTCATGGCATCAAACCATTTCTTTTGCAGATCAGGGGATAACTTTAGAACATCTTTGTAATGTTCTGGTGATTCTTTGATCTGTGCAGTGAGTGCAAATTCAAAAGGATGCATCTTGGCTTCTTGATCCAGCATTCCCTTTGTAGATTCAGGAAGCAGAGTTAAGGGAGATGAGGGAGAAGGAGGAGTAGTTCCTTGTGGATGTTCAGTTCACTGACAAGGAACTTGAGGAGGTACCATAGCAGGTGGTAAGACTGGAGAAGGTGGTCTTTGTTCCTCATCATAGCATCTCCTAGCTTCTTCTCTTTCTCTAATATTATGTTCTGCATTTCAGATCCATTGTTGAGCCTGATCACAGTTTTGTTGAATATCCCTTTCTATCTGAACTGGAGGTCTGTCTCAATAAATGTTTCCAGGATGGGAAACAGGGATAAATTGACACTTAGGACATGGTTCTTGGTCTTCAGGTTGTTGTGGTTGAGCTCTCCAAACATTTCAGGAGTTGCCAGGAACAGAATAAGGAGTATGAGGATGATGAAGAATGTGAGGGTCAACTGATAGTGCAGCAGCAGGTGCTCTTCTAATCAGTTGATTTGAACCAGAAGCTCTAGGCTGGTCTGCAGCTTTTCCCTGCTGTGGGTTTGATGGTGTAAATGGACAAGGTGGTTGCTGGTGATGAGGCAGCAGTTGGATCTGATCAGGATCTGGTAATGAGTATAGGCTTTCAGAGTCAGATGATGATTTGGATGATGAGTCGCTTTCAGAACTGGGCTCAAAGGTTTTGGTCTTTTTGTTATCCAAGCAGAAAGGAAAGGAGTCTTCTATGAATTTTGCTGTACAAGATAAAATGATTTTCTGACCATGTAAAAACTGATATCCTTTTGTACTTAGGCTCATAGCCTAAGAAAATCATCTCGATAGCATGAGGTTCCAATTTATCTTTTCTTTGTTCTTTTGGAACCCATACAAAGGCTTTACAGCCAAAGGTAAAGTTCCAGAAGTGTTTTGGAACACATGCATGATGCCAAATAATGCCAGCTTTCTCAGAAATGGTTCAGTCAAATCATTCTGCCTGACCATTTTGTTGTGGTTGGTCAGTGATTGATAATTGATGGGTTATTCT